AGTTATATTTTTCATAAAATTTTTGTTTCAGGCTGTATCTCTAGTGCTCACACATAGTTTTTTTTGGTTTTGTTTCATATGTAAGTTGAGAGGCACTGATCTAGATGTTGATGATGTCCATATTAATGTTTTCAACCATGAGCTGAGACCCCAAGTCATATTTGTCATCCTGACATCTCATCACAAGTCTGTAAGCCTGCTGTTTTTCCCTCCCGTTATCCCACAGCTCAGCAAATGGCACTGTCTTTCCTCCAGTTGATGAGGAACAGTGACCTTAAATTTCTGCTTTCCTATTCCCCCTCCCCACCACACCCTACTCACCACACTATGCTCCCTCTGGCTTTGGTCCGTCACACTCACCCTGGCCATTCTGTGCCACAGACTTCCACTTCCTTGTTTATTTATCTGCAGGGCTCTGCACATGTGTTGTGACCTCTACCTCCCCAGCAAGGTCTATTGGCTCTGCATCCTAAATGGGTTCCAGGTCTACCCACTTATTTCCATTTGGGCTTCTATCAACATACTCTAAGCCCCTGGCATCTCTTGCCTGGAGTACTGCTGTAGCTTTAAACTGGTCTGTGATTTATTCTTATTTTCATAAGACCCACAGTGGCCAAAGGAACCTTCCAAAGCCATAAATCAGATGCTGCTGCTCCCCTGGTCCAGAGCCTCTAGGGGCTTTCCACTGTGATGCTCTGTTGACGCCTTACTGTGCCTACGAGGCCCTGGTGACCAGGCCCAGCCCCCGGGCATTGGTCCATCACACCCACCCTGGCCATTCTGTGCCAAGGACTTCCACTTCCTTGCTTATTTATCTGCAGGGCTCTGCATATGCACTGTGACCTAGCCCCTCCAGATCCTCCCAAGCTGGCTCCTCTCTGTTAATTCAGGTCTTAACTCAGAGGTGATTTCCTCAAAGGAGTAGCCCTTCTCTGACTAATCAGTGCCTGTAACCCAAGTGTAAGTGATAGTATTTTAGGAGTAAATGAGATACATTGTTACTGAAATAGAGTGCTTTTGAGTAATAGGAGCCAAGAGCCATCAAAGTATTCTTGACTAGATATCCTTGAATTTTCTTTGCGAATCATCTGTAATCAACAAAATCCTTCTGTGCAAGCAATACTGCCAAGTTTCTGTGTGAAGAATAAATATTGGTCTTGCTATTTTTTAAGTTACTTGACTGAGCACCCCATTATGCAAATTTAATGAACAGTTTAAAATATGCACATTATGCACAACATAGTGTGTTAAGATATAGATGTATAAATTATGTTAATATAAAATTTAAAATGAGAGTATTTCATTAGTGGGAATATATCATAAGCACAAGGCAAATAGCATTTATTTAAACTTTTTTAATCTCTGAGATTTATGTACATCATGGTTAGCTTTGTAAGAAAGTTTGAATTTGATTTAAATTACCAAATTTGGTTTTAATTATCCGAATGTAAATTTGAATGTCTTGAAGAGAAAGGTCTATAGTTTAGGGCATATTATTCCTTATGTAAATTTAGTCTTTACTTTGTGAAAATGTGTTATTAAAATAGTGCAGAAAAATTACCAATTATTAACAAAATAAATTACAGGGTTTGTGATTTTGACCTTTGCTTTAAAAAAAAAAACTTACATTCACATACGGGAACTTTTTGTAGTAGACATTTGCATAACAGATTCCAAAAACAACGAAACTGAAACTGTGTGTGCAGAATACTATGTATTGATTAAACTACATAACACAGGAGGCAATAGGAAATACATTTACATTTACATTTGCAAAATGAAAATTGAATAGAAATAGGAAAATATGGCATGATTTCACCCTAGAAAATTCTTTAAATCATAATAGTCAGTGTTTAGAAAACTAAAATAAAGCCTCCCTTTTACTTCACTTGTATTCATTCCATTCTGTACAAGTTCAGAAATGGTGGTGATGAAAATAAGTCACTTTACCTTCTTCTGGGATAGCTCTCCAAAGGGAATAATCCAAGCTACAAAGATTTATGCACAAAACATTAGTTGTGACATTGTTTTTAATTTTGAAAAGTCAGGATCCATCCAAATATCCAGTGGTGGGGGAAATTAAGCAAATCATATAGCATCCTTACAAAAAGGTGATATAACCACTGGCATTAATTTTTAGGAAGATTGTTTAATGTGGGAAAAAGCTTCTGATATAATGCGAAGTGAGGAAAAAGGATATATTTATATGGTATGATCTTAATTAGGTGAAAACAATATCCATAGAAGGAAATATATTAATAGTAGTTAATTCTGAGGACTGCACTGTTGCTGGTTGTATTTTCTAGGTTTTCTAGAAAAAAACACATATTACTTTTATAATACGGAAAAGATTATTCATAAAATAAATTTCGGTACTAATAAAATGTTGAATGCTTAGGGTTACTGTGTTTTAGAGCCAGAGAGTAATGCAGGGCTCATTTAGTCTGGGAGCTCATGACCGAGGGTTGTAATTGGTACAGGGAGATTGAGAGCTGTTTTTCAGATGGCTCCATGGATAGCAAAGTTTCTTGGTGTTTTTGATGCACTCAGTTCTGTCCCTTATTGACGGTCACTTGCTGATTAGAAAGTCTGCCTGGCTGTCAGCTTTGTATTTGATAAATATAAAATAGGAAGACCTGACTGGAAAAGGAAAATGTGGCACATATACACCATGGAATACCATGCAGCCATAAAAAACGATGAGTTCACGTCCTTTGTAGAGACATGGATGAATCTGGAAACCATCATTGTCAGCAAACTGAGATAAGAACAGAAAATCAAACACCACATGTTCTCACTCATAGGCAGATATTGAACAACGAGAACACAGGGACACAGAGAGGGGAGCATCACACACTGGGGTCTGTTGGGTGGGGCAAGGGAGGGACAGCAGGAGTTGGAATCGGGGAGGGATAACATGGGGAGAAATGCCAGATGTAGGTGACGGGGGGATGGAGGCAACAAACCACATAGACCTGTGTGTACCTATGCAACAATCCTGCATGATCTGCACATGTACCCCAGAACCTAAAGTACAATAAAAATAAATAAATAAATAAATAGATATAATAAAATAGGAAGACCAGGCAATTGTTACCTAATAAACATGACTTATTTGGTGGCCAAACATTTTAAAACAGGAGGCGACAGTGACAGATTCCTCATGCTGTAAAGTGGGAACCATTCTGGATCAGTTTTCAATCTTCAGGTTCTGATCAATGGTCATAAAATCCATTTAGTGAGTCTTCCACAGCATTCCCTTATAAACGAAATTGGAGTAGAATAGAAATACCAGAGTGCATGGCATGTAGTAAGTATCCTGTACGTTTTAATTTTCAGGTGTGTGTTTGTAGTTACTAGATTGTAACATAAGTTTTTTGTTTCGGTTTGGTTTGGTTTTTTATCTATAGTCTGTAGTCAAAAGAGTCCAAAGAATCTTAGTGTGATCTGTACCAGTGGTGTGCAGTATTCTCCAGTGATTAGTAACATCAGTGTCACTTGTGAGCTTGTCGGAAATGCACCTTATTAGGCCCCACCCAGATCTACTGAATCACAAACTCTGGTGCTGGGTTCCAGCACTGTGTGGTTTAATGAGTTCCTGTCTTAGTCTGTTTTCTGTTACTGTAAGAGAATACCATGGGCTGGGTAATTTCTTAGAATAGAGGTTTATTCAGCTTACTGTTCTGGAGGCTGAGAAGTCCAAGATAATGGCAGTAGCATCTAGCGAGGGTCTTTTTGCTGCATCATGTCATGGTGGAGGTTATAACATGGCAAGAGGACAAGTGTGTGCCAACTCAGAACTTTCTTCTTTTTCTAAAGCCACCAGTCCCATCTTGGGGGCCCTATCCCAATGACCTTATCTAATCCTAGCTACCTCCCAAAGGCCCCACCTCTAAATGCCATCAACATATTAATTTGGGGATTAAGTTTCCAATACATAAAATTTGGAGGACACATTCAAACCACGGCAGTCTCCCTGGTGATTCTGATGCACACTCAAATTTGGGAGCCACTAGTCCAGCCTTGCTATTCTTGGTGAGGTTCAGGGACTAACACTGGCATCACCTGTGAGCTAGTTGGAAATGCAGAATCTCAGACCCCAACCTTGACAGGCTCACTCAGAATCTGTGAGATCACCAGGTAATTTGTTTGCATGATAATGTTGAATAGCTCTGATCTCAACACAAATGCCTCAGGGACCAAGTAGGTCATGTCAATAGTGAAAGTAGCCTGGTTTTCCCCTAAAGAAAGTAGAACAATAAGAAGGCATTGTGATGTGAAGTTTTAGTACTCTCTATTTGTTTAAGAAATTCTAGGACACGTGCACACGAATGTTCATTGCAGCACTGTTTACAATAGCAAAGACCTGGAACCAACCCAAATGCCCATCAATGATAGACTGGATAGGGAAAATGTGGCACATATACACCATGGAATATTATGCAGCCATCAAAAACGATGAGTTTGGGTCCTTTGTAGGGACATGGATGAACCTGGAAACCATCATTCTCAGCAAACTGACAGAAGAGCAGAAGATCAAACACCGCATGTTCTCACTCATTGGCGGGTGTTGAAAAATGAGAACACATGGACACAGAGCGGGGAGCACTACACATTGGGCTCAGTTGAGGGGAAATAGGGGAGGGACGGTGGGGGGGTGGGGAGCTGGGGAGGGATAGGATGGGGAGAAATGCCAGATGTAGGTGATGGGGAGGAAGGCAGCAAATCACACTGCCACCTGCAACAAACCACATAGACCTGTGTGTACCTATGCAACAATTTTGCATGTTCTTCACATGTACCCCAAAACCTAAAATGCAATAAAATAAATAAATGGGGGGGGGAAAGAAATTCTTATATTATACCACTGGGGGTTAACACATCCAACCAAATTCATCAGCAAAGGTTAACTGAGGTTGAGATCAATTACTTTAAACAGATTTTTAAACACAGAATTTTAATAGTGACCCTTCATATTAACTTCTTCTGATCTCTTTTAGGAATTTATCAAAGAGCTGCTTTCTCGGATAAGAGGCATGAGGAAACTGAGCCCTCCACAGAAGAAGAGTGTATGATTCTGGAACAGGGTGGAACTCTCCCGGAGACGAAGAGGGTCCTGGGATTTGTACTTCATGAAGACTTTTGTGAAAGAATACGTGTCCTTATGAACAAAGTTTTTTTTGGTGTGAAGGTGGGGGGAGTCTATTAGACATTTATTCAAGAGTGTTTCTTTTTTGGTTTTAAAGGTTTTCGTTAATGTAATATTTTAATAGCAAAGATATTATGACTGTGGCCACAGCCCAACCAAGGATTATCAAAGCAGGTGGACACTCAAGGAAGGGTCGTGCCAGGCTGCATTTTCTGCAAGGACTCAGATGTTTAGTACCTTATGATACAGGGAAGATAGTTTTCTTACAACTAGTTTGGTAATTTCTTTTTTAAGTTGTACATTTGACTCAGCTGTCAAATTTCTTGTACTTGTATATATCTACACACAACTAAGTTAAAATGTTGATGTGAGTTTTATTTCACATGGATGGAATAAACTTGTGGTCGTCCTTTAACTGGAGGTCACAGCATATGTGTTTTCAAGAGGCCACTAGGCATTCTTCACTGAGTGCTGCTGACTTCAACATTCACTTTATGCACCAAAGTGAAAGAATTCAGTGTATCCGTTATTTTAATGTGCTACACTACAGAAATGTTAAGTTGGTCAAGGGCTTAATTTATGAAATGTCTATTATTTCATTGGTTGGGATGCTTTGCCAGGTCATGTGCTTATTGCCTCATCTGTGGTCTTTTAAAGTTTTATGAACCTTTCATTTGAAGAACTAACTTGATTTCTAGAGAAATGCCCACACTATCTAAGTGGTATTTTGCATTGGAAAAAGGAAGCGCTGTGTAGCAACAAATTGTCTGCTTTCAACTCAATACTGTGTATTATTCTTTCTCCAGGAAAGCAGATCAAAAGGAAGTTAGCAGATCGAGTGTCTTCTTCCTTACAAATAGATTCTGGTAGCTTCCGTGCCTGGGGTAGCATCAGACCAGTGCATGTAAACTAAGTGTTAATGTCAAGGCGAGAAAGCCTCACATTCTCTCAAGACAGTTGCTATAGGAGCCGACATTGCAGGTTTGGAAGTGTGGTGATTGCATTTCTGGCTTCTCTCACTGGCTTGTGTTGAGGACTCTGGGTGCTTCTGGCCCTAATTGTGCACCCTGATCCCCATGCTTGGATCTAGGCCTGGTGGTGTGCTCTAGACCTCTCAGTTTCCAGCTCTTTGGAGAAGGATACAAATTCAGATGGGATGTGGGATGGGTAATAGGTGAGAGTAGAAACTCTTCCTTCACTCCAGGAGGCCCTTGCTGCTTCCCACAGAAACCCACCTACCATAAGATGTCTCTAGGTGGCCTTGTCCAAGGACGGGGGTCAGGCATTTTATATCAAGGGTGCTCGGAACATATTTTATTTTTTAAAGAAACTATGTTTGTGAATTCTGCGTATACTGGCAAGGTTTTGAACATGTATTTAATTTTGTATTGTTTACCAATGATTTATTTACAAGCTATTTACTCAAATAAATGGAGCTGCTTACAAGTCTGTTGACATGTGTGGCTTACACAACATACTAACATGATGGTTTTGCTTAGCTTCTCTGTGGAGGTGGGGACCAAGCACCTGCGTCTATCTAGCTTTTCATTTTCAAGGTATTTTTAGGCATGTAATCCTGGCCCTCTCCTGAGGCGTCTTCAGATCAGGTGGTGAAAGCAAAGAAGCTGGGCCACATTCTTGGGATGAGAGAGAAGACGAGCTCTGTGCTCAGCCTGGCACTCTCCTAGGCCATGCTCCTTAATTAAAACTCCCTGTTTCTTGTCAGATCTGACAAGAACCCTCGAAAACATTTCAAATTAATAAACTATTCCACTTATTGTTAGAATGCCTTGAACCATGGAAGTCAGAAAAATATAGAATGGGCAGGATTTCTATTAGACTTGATTGACCAGCCCATGTGATGGTCTCAGATGAAGGAAGAGCCGACTTTTCCTCCAAAGGCCTCTGTGCTCACCACACATGCCCTCCCCACCTTCCCTCCTGCCATTGTCAGGGCCTGGCATCCCCTGATCCCCGTGAGTGCTCCAGCCAGAAGTTTGAGTTTCTTCCTTGACTCCCCAGTGTGCTCCCAGTCATCCAGCTTGTCCTCTGTGAATACTTCTCAAATATAACCCATGTCCAATTTTCCTGGATTGCTGCCACCTACTTGGCTGGGAGTCTCCATGTCCAGGCTTGTCTCCCCCTGATCCATCCTCCACCCAGTTGCCAGAATAGTCTAATGACTCCACCCTCTGCTTGAAACCTAAACCCCTCTGCATGCCTTATGAGAAGTGTTGTCTCTGTCTCTTCCACCTCATCTTTGGGACTTGTACTAATGCCCAGTTCTTCCAAATTCCTTGGAGTTTCTGGAGTGTTCTATGTATTTTCTCCTCTAATACTTTGTAAAATCTGTTGCCTTGGCCCGGAACACCCTCTCTACCAAGAGGATCTATCCAGAAAGCTGGGTTAGATCTCCTCCTAGGCATGTTCCCCCTCAGCTCCAGCCTGTACCCCATCATAGATGTTTCCACAGTTTCATTATTGTCTATTGTCTGTCCACTTGTTGGTGTCTGCTGTTAGAATCTAGGATGCTTGAGGCTGGGATCTGGACTTCACCAAGCATCTGGTCCTAGGCTTGGCCCATCAAAGAGATTGATGTGTGTTTGCCAATTGAATGAATGTGACAGAAGATTCACGAAAACTCCACTGTTTTCTTCCCAGCTAGAGTTGTGGTTCTTAGATCTGAGTGTAAATTTGAATCACCTGGGAAGTTTTAAAAACCCAAATAGTCCTGGAAAATTGTTACTAACAACTAGTCTCATTTCCTTGGGGGCTTGGAGTACAGTCTACTGTGTGTTTGTAATTTGCCTGTGAAAAATGGAATGGATTCTCAGTCTTCTAGCAGTGAGAAAGAACAGTGCAGGCTTCATGGAGTTCCCTCCCACCCCCTCACAGAAAGAAATGCTGGAAACACTTCACTTAATAGCCTTCTTGTGCAGCCATGAAGGCCAACCAGTTCTCTCTTGTTGACTGGCACATCTTGCCTGGGGATGAATTGTTCTTTAAAGACGGATTGTTCTCTACCTCTTGTGGCTCTCTAAGTGTCTCCATCACAACACATTAGGCAGACATTTCCATAAGGTACTGATATTAGAACAGCTATAAATGGAGTCCTTGAGAAACCTGCTTTTCTGGTGTTTTATTGAGTCAACTGGATAAACAAGGCCAGATTAGTGTCTGGTGTGTGTTTCCCTCATGCTCAGTCTCCTCAGTGGGGTGTAAATGAAACTAGCAGGATGGCCTTCTTTGGACTCACCTTGTTCTAGTGGATTCTAGAAGATAAGTAGTTCCAGCAAGCACAGATTGTAAAGAAGAGTGCATTCTAAACATAGGCGCTGCATAGACTTAATCGGAATTCTGTGTTCAAGTTGTCTGGAGACATTTCTACATGGATCTCATGTCTCTGCGTGTCTTGTGAGCAGAGACTGCCTTTGTTCCAGACGCTCTCTCCAAGAATGTTTATATGTCTAGCAAACAGCCTTGGAAGTTAGAGATCATGTCTCCCTGCAGAGCAAAGCTGTCTATTATAAAATCTTTGGGTTCCTTAAGTGTTGAGTCCCTTTCCTGGGATTCGACCCACTGCATGCACAGGTGTCATCTGTTCTTTGCAACACCCTTGGAGAACTGGGGCTCAAGAAATGCCACTGCTTTAGCCACTGCTATTGCTGTGAGTAACTGTCCTCCCTCTCTGACTCAGGGGTGTAGCATCTTCTACCAGCATCCATGACACTGACAGGCTAATTTGTTAGCTTATATATAGCATGGTAAAACCTCAGCCCCTACACAATGGTCAGTTGTCTTGGTCTCTTTCAATAGGACTTGAATCATTTTTGTCATTAATAGACATTTTCTTACATTCAGACTCTGACTTGATTAATCATTTTCAAATACATAGGGTCAGAAGTTTCCTTTAAAGAGATTTCATGCCTGAAGGTGGTTGTTCTGTGGAAGGAATTTACTTTCACAAAAGCCACCTTTTCTTTTCCTCCTTGTTAGCAACGTGAAGCAGATGTTGCCTGGGGTAAAAAGACTCATGAAAGAGAAATGGAGAGATGTACTGTCCCAGAAATTTACAGTAAAACTACCCTCTAGAGTGAGGCAGAGAAGACAAGCAAAGATTCTTGCCTCAAATCTTTCTGTTTAAAATATGTGTCTAAATAATATGAGTAGTGCATTGTCACTTGCTATTTTGAAATTCCCCAGTTAATCTCTAGAAGCAGTTTTGTGAACTTTTTTGAAGTATCACGGTCCACCCAGTGGTTACCGAACCCAAAAATAGAAATTGAAGTCAGAGTATATCTGATGCTACCAGATTGATTCTTGTCAGGTCGCTAAATGATTCACATAAAGTGTAACCCAACACACCCCCTGGGTCACTAGTTGCTTGAGGGTGAGTGATTTACTATTTGGTTTTCTGTTGTTAGTAGCACAAAATTACTCCTTCGGTGCTGATTAGATTATTATTATTCTTTTTTGAGACGGAGTTTCACTCTTGTTACCCAGGCTGGAGTGCAATGGCACGATCTCGGCTCACTGCAACCTCCGCCTCCTGGGTTCAAGCAATTCTCCTGCCTCAG